TCAATGGATGGTGGAATGTCGGCTAGGAGGTCTTTAGCAATTGGCTTTGCGCGACCCATCTCGGCTGAAAGAACAAGACGTCGGCGACGCTTTCTTTGGGATGGTGAAATGAGGTATGGAGCTGAGGTCGACGGCTGTTCTGCTGGATCAGAGGTTGATCATTGGTCTGTTCGCGATGTTGATGCAGCTGGAAGAGTTGTAGCAGAGGGAGGAGATGAGCTCTTCTTCTTTTTTTTCCTAGGGACGTCGGGAAGAGCTGATTTGTATGTTGGGATGAAGTTGAGAAGCAAAGGTGCCTTTCGCTTCTGAACTGGCAGGTCCAGTAATTTCTTCAAATCCTTGCTGGGAACAAAGGATTGACGAAAATTTTTCGGTGGCTGACGAACAACTGCAAGAAGAACAGACATAAAAAAATAGACAAAGTATCTAAGACTTAAGAAGAAAACAGGCAAAGCTGAATATTGGGCTCTTACCCTTGCCCTCTAAAACTAATCGGGAAAGAGGGTAGAGATAAATGTCCTCACCTGGAGCAAACTCCCAATTTCCCGAAGTAATGAGATAGTCATCTCCAGCCCCCTTGTTGGAGTCTGGGAGGTCGGCTATGATTTTGAATTCTGTAGACCTCGACTTAAGATAATAAATGAAGCATTTTTCTTTCAAGTTAAGGGCACACGTGGTGTAACAATACTGTATATCGGCTAGGGTGATCCAAACGTTTTCCTGTTTAGCTAAGACGATAATACCAAAAATGACTCGACAAGAGTTGATTGCCAGTTGCATGGGGTTCAACTTATAATAATGAAGAATCTCGCGAAAAAGGATGTTGAGTGGGAGCCGGAGTCCGCACTCAGTAAAAGCTACAATGGGAAGGGGCATGGCGTTTTCTGTAGGCATGATGGAGTCATCATCCCCAGCCAGTCTCAGATGGACATCGGCAGGGATGGAGAACTCCTGCCTAAAGTACTCAAGTTTGGTCGGGGTATCTACCCCATGTCTCCACATACCCATGATATCGGCCTAATTTAGAAGGGTTGAAATTCAGGAGGAAGATGTTTCTTGTTGATGGGACCTCGGCAAAAACCTAGGTTTAGGCTGGTACAGAAATTTATAAGGAATGTTTCAGTTTAGCCCTAGATCGTGGGTTCTACAAACAAATCCCAAACCTAAAGCTATGAAGATGAAGATCAAAGGTATAGATCTGGAAAAGATGCAAAAAACAAAAAATAAAAACAAAGTTTCAGAAACAAGAATTGGGATGGGCTATCAAGAACATGAAGAATACAAAAGTATATGGTCAAGAACAGTGGCAAAAGTGCAAAGAAGTGGTGAAACATTGCATGTGTTGAAAATGTAGGCAAAGGCAAAATCATGGATGAATGCATTCAGATGTACGATTTATGAATTAAGAAGCTTGAAACAATATAGTAATGGCAACAGCAAAAAAAGAAGAAACCTCAGGAATTGAAAATGAAAGGAACAGTAGCTTACCAGAGAAAGAGAAGCCGGAAAGGGATTTGTCGATGTCCTACGATGATTACAGGAGCAGAAAACCGGTGGAAATCTTGCCGGAAGGGGTGAACGGAGAAGGTTGTAGAGCTTTGAAAGCTTGAACGATGGAGGATTTCGAAAGCTAGAGAGAGAGAGCAGGAGATTCGAATGAAAAAGTGAAGAGACGAAAAAAAGGGAAAAAAGTTTTTGATTAAACAGAAACGACGGCAAAAACAATCAATACGCCTAGAAGAACGAGGGCGTCAGACGGCGCACGTGAGAAAAGAGGTAGTTAATAAGCGCGTCACGTGTACGAACCAATAAGAGGGAAACGTATGTCTAAAACGGTTGAATTGAAGTGCATGACAGCTCATGCGCGTGAGAAGGTCCTTAAAAATCTTTTTTTTTTAAGGAAAGCATGTCGGCCTGAAATGAATGATCTCGGCTGTCAAAATTTAAGCCGATTTACTGAAAGAAAATACAGATATAGGTTCCATCACCTCAGAATGCCGAGGTAATAGAACCTAGGGGGCAGTTGTGGGGATGTATTTTCTGAATACCAACACGTGGCAGGGTGACACCGACGTGTTAGCCGAGGTGCCATGTGTCCTGGTTGTGACGCCGAGGTTATCTCAGCAAGGCCGAGGTTATCTCCGAAGATATCGGAATCCGAGATAAATGGATAAAAGATAAGGGACAAGAGTCCTTGAGTAAAAAGGAGACTTAGCCAAGATAAGGATAAAGCTCTTAGAGAGTTTATCTTTATCTCTTGAGGAATCCAAAGTAAGCACAGAATGGGAGTCCATGGAAGTCAGGCTTCTAGTGGGACTAGGTTTATGTTGGCTATAAAAAAGAGGCACCACCGTGGGTCTAAGGTACACAATTTTATGCTTTGAATAATGAGTTTAGCACTTGATTGTCTTTGAGAGATATACTGACTTGATCGTCGGAGTGCCCCCGGGTGGAAGAGCCACCACCGGAGCCTTTTCTTTCTGTTACAGATTAGCTGAATCCATCTATTCTGCCGGTGCTCTCCAGCTGATTACTAGGCGGGCAGTGTGGTCAGAAAATCACCCACACAGGTCTTGAATAATATATATGCAAAACCTCACAAGAAGTGAATGAAAAATTTCATTTAAATAGCTTATTGGTTGATTTGATAGTCAATTAACGTCGTTTGTGCTAAATTAACGAAGTGGGAGAATCTTGATATTATCAACAAAAATAAAGGAGATTTCTGTAATTATTAAAAATACAAGAAAAGTTTCTATATTTATCAAAAATCTTAGGAGAAGTAGTATAATTTACCCAATATTTTAAAAACAAAAATAAAAAACATGTTTGATCAATTGTTAAAAGTAGAGGTCGGTAGTAAAAAGGTGGATGGATATAGCAACTATATGAGAATAGTAATACGAGTTAAGATTCTCTCCAGCTTTCCTCTCCAGTCTCTCTTCCGGGCAACGGCCTAGATTGACTCACATCATCCCACTCAAAATGTGCGGCTGAGATTAGCTAAAAAAAACACAAAAAAAGCAATTAACTCACTGACACACGTCTCACCACTCAATCACACTCACACTCACACTCACACTTTCTCTTTCTTTTTTTCTTTCTCTCTCTCTCTCTTCTAATAAAAAATTAAAAAAACTATTTTAATCTTTTCCATTTTATTTTCATAAAGTTATACTTCCTTCGTTCTAAAATTTAATTCCTTATTTTATTTTTCATTGTCTCAAAATATTAGTCACTTTAAAAAAATTAAGGACAAAAATAATATAAATTTCATATTTTACCCTTCTTTGAAATTCATTAAAAATATAAAAAATACAATTGTGACAATTGATATTCTCCAAAAAATATATTATCAAAGGGTAATTTTGAAAAATTAATTTTTTTAAAGTGTAATAATTGTACTACAAAAAAAGTTAAATTTCTCAAAATTGATTATTATTTTAGGACGGAGAGAGTATATATATATATAATTTGTAATATATATTTATATTATTTTTATCCTTAATTTTTGAAAATGTACTAATATTTTAGAACAATGAAAAATGAAATAAGGAACTAAATTTTGGGACGGAAGTTAGAAATCAAGTACAAAAATAAATATAAATTTCTTATTTTGCCATTCTTTTAAATTCATTAACAATATAAAAAATACAATTATGACATTGATATTCTTCAAAAAATGTATTATCAAAAGATAATTTTGAAAAATCAATTTTTTTAAATTGCAAAATTGGGCTTTTTTGGCTCAATGAGCCATAAAAGACAGAATAGGCTCATGAGCCACAACAGACAAAACATCCCATCCAACCCCATAATCATTACACTCTTCTCTCACAAAAAAATCAAGAAAGCCAAAAAGCCAAAAGCTCTTCCCAAACTAAGCTTTTGAGCCCAGACTCATATAGTCAAAAAAATCAAAAAGTCAAAAAGCCAATCCACTTCTCAAACGAAGGCTAAATATCCCGAAAGGAACTATTATTTTGAAACAGAAGGCGTATATCTTATGAAAATAAAATGAAAAAAATTAAAATAATTTTTAAAATTTTTTATTAAAAATGAGAGAGAGAGGGGGAGTGTAAGTGAGTGGTGTTTAAGCTAATCTCAACCACACATTTTCAATGGAATGACGTGGGTCAATTTGGACGGTTGCTTGGGAGGGAAGCTGGAGAGAATCTTTACTCTAAGTAATCTTAGTAACATATAAACCAAACACAAAATGAAATACAATCCTTTCATAGATCTCATCTCATATAAAAGAATTTATAAAGAATTTATTTTATTTTGTGTTTGATTTCTATCCACATAAATTTGCTCAATGGTTGAAAGTGGTTGATGGAATTGATGGCCAAAGTGTCGTTGGAGGCCACGACACACACGATTGGTGATCATCCAATCACAAAGTCGTTGGTGGCGACTGATGGCCAGTGGTAGCCAGGGTGATGAGGGAGGAACATCAAAAATGCTAGAGGTCTCAAAAAATTCTATCAAAAATTTTATTAAATGTCTCATATGGATGTGGGATCATGTGGGGTCTCTAGCATTACTCGAGGAACATGGAAGTAAAATTTATTTTTGAAAATAACTGAAATTATTTTTTTCTTTTTTAAAAAAATTGAAAATTAATTTTATATTTTAAAAACAAACAAATTATGATAGAGATTCAATAATCTATTAAATTTTTTATCAAATTTTTTATATGGTGTGAAATTCACACGCATGTAAATTTATGTGAATCTCGTACCCATGTAAGAGTTTTAATAAAAAATTTAATAAATTATTTAAGATGCTTACCATTTTTCAAAAAAAATAATATTCCAAAAAAGTACGAAAATAAAAAGAAAGAAATAAAAACCACAACGTTTACAAAAATGAGTTGTCAATCCCAACAGAGTCTTAAAAATCAATCTGGGCCCACATGCCGACAGGGAGAGGGTCCAGCAACTAATTACGTGGCAATAGTTGCTTGCAAGACGACGATATTTACGCTACTCAGTTGTGTACCAGATTACACCCATCCCTCTATAGAGTTTGTGGTTTGCGGCGCTGAAACGCAAGACGTTTCCATCCAAATTCCGTTCCGATAAACCCTTTCTTGATACCTTACTTGCGAATACACTATCAAACCCTAAAAATCGAACTCAAAGAACAATAAAAAGGTAATTTTTTTATTTTGTTTTATTTATAAACATATATGTATGTGTTTTTTTGTATCTTATATTTTTTTCAATCGAAAGTTCAAGTGCTAATTTCGTATTCTGATTGATTTCTCTTAAACCCTAGAAGTAAATTACTTTTCTTGCATTTGGACCGTTGTTAATGATGATTTATCGCTTTGGGTGTCTTTGTGATCGCCCCGTTTGGTGTTTGTGGTATATGGGTTCTGAGTTATTTGTTGATTGGATCAAAGAAAAGTGATCTTGGACATGTCTTGGATTGTCAAATGTTTGAGGAATTGATTCGTGTTTGCTTTCATCGTTTATTGAACGTGGTTTTAGATTGAATCTTCCATGGAGGTGCCCTGTAAAACCGTAGGAGACATGTTGAGAGAGACACACACGGAGAGAGAGAGAGAGAGGAAAAAAAAATGATTTGGAAATTTTTTCAATAAGTTGTACTATTCCCATGAAATTTTCATTGAGTTTTACGGACACGTGAATTGGCCCTCTCAACATATTTTTGAACTTTACAACAACCCACAAATTGATTATGGTCCTGTTTGGTAGGGCTTATTTTCAGCTTATTTCAGTTTTTAGCTTAATTTAAGCTATTTTGATGTGTTTGGTTCAGCTTAATAATATGGCTTATAGCTTTTTGTAAGTCAAAAATCAACTTATTCTTTGAGTGGGGGAGGAGAAGCTTAATTTATAAGTAAAAAAACAGCTTATGTTCACAGGTAGAAGTTATAAGCTGTTAGGTTATAAGTTATAATCACTTTTCCACAGCTCTACCAAACGGGGCCTATGTAAGAGTAATCTTTATGCACACCTCTACCAAACAGGGCCAATATGGCTTATAGCTTTTTGTAAGTCAAAAACTAACTTATTCTTTGAGTGGGGGAGGAGAAGCTTAATTTATAAGTAAAAAAACAGCTTATGTTCACAGGTAGAAGTTATAAGCTGTTAGGTTATAAGTTATAATCACTTTTCCACAGCTCTACCAAACGGGGCCTATGTAAGAGTAATCTTTATGCACACATGTAGTCCCACTTGAATGACAATGAAGTACCATATTCTAGGAGGGACATATACTTTGATAAAAGAGCATTGTGTATGTATGATTTATATTTCCTGAATGATGGATGAAAGGGTAATTTTTTTAAGTTCTTGAAATGTAAAATCAATGACAATTAGGAAAACATTGCATAATTCAAATGTCTTCAGCTGTTGGCATGGAGTGTATAGTCTATCTTTTCACTTTTGTTTTGCTTACTCAATACTAATATTTATGCTTTGATACCACGATTCTCTTGAATCAATTTATACTAAATTGGGTAAAGATTAAGTATATATTTACAGATTAACTTCTGGGATGAATGAGTTCGTTATCTTTCTGTAATTCAAAAGAGGATTGACAATTTTGAGCTAAGTGAATGGGTAGGGTTTTGACGTTTTGTTGGTGTATCAGTTTTGCTGGTATCATATGAATTTTTATTTCCAAGTTTTTGGAATGAATTGCATGATATTTGAACAATTGAATGAAAATTGTATGCCTATGGTCTTTCAATATCTCAGCCTTTTTTCTTTATTGTCTGTACTAGTATCTTGTTTTTCTATTTTCTGAGTTACAATTATTTCTCGGGAATTTTTGGACTCCTTTTTATTATATGGTGGGAATTTAATGGAATTACAAATATGGTTTCAAGTTTTGTTTGCTTGCTTATCTTTATTAAAAAAAAAAAAAAATTCCTTCGGTATATATTTAGTAAAATTTCATACCCAAGGCAGTTTCCAAAAGCTATATTGAAAGTTGATCTTCTCATTAGCAGCAACAATGGATTCCTTTTTGTCCTTGTGGTTGGATTGTAAGTGATGAGTGATCTAGAATTGGATGTGAATCAGATGAGAAGTCTTAATTAACTCTCTACTTTTTGCACATCTTTTCGTAATTAGCCAAAAAGTCATCCCAAACATACAAGTTTTTTTTTATCTACCTTTTTAGCCAAATAGCCAAAAAGTTACTAAATTAGCCTGTTCCCAAACGAGGCCTAGTAAAATTTCATACCCAAGGCAGTTTCCAAAAGCTATATTGGTTGATCTTCTCATTAGCAGCAACAATGGATTCCTTTTTGTCCTTGTGGTTGGATTGTAAGTGATGAGTGATCTAGAATTGGATGTGAATCAGATGAGAAGTCTTAATTAAAGATGAGGCTGAGTCAATTTTTCCCAATTTTTTTTCCAGGGATTGTGAAAATGAGTGAGCTGCCAATGCAGAACATTTCCTCGGCCTTGACTTTGTCACGGACACAGAAAACCCAAGGATCAGCCATTGCAGCATCTGGGCCAGATTCCAAGCCGAAGAAGAAAATCTGCTGTGCTTGCCCTGACACCAAGAAACTTAGAGACGAATGCATTGTGGAGCACGGTGAAGATGCTTGTTCAAAATGGATCGAGGCTCATCGTAAATGTCTTCGCGCTGAAGGTTTCAATGTTTGAAAGTGATGATCATTGAAAAATTGATGACATAGAGCGTGATACAATTTTACACACATCATTTTTCTTTTTCTCTTTTGAGGATTTCATGTACTTTTGGGTACATCGGAAATGATTGAGGATACATATACAGTAGATGATATCTGTGTCATTGAAAATTTAGGAATAAATCGAGAAAGGTGGCTTCTCTGAACTTTTAGATAAAAACTTTGTACTTGTTTACTATTTAATTTTAAACGTTTTGGATTGGTTAATTCCTGCTATTTGAGCCATGGCATTTCATTGTTTGTTCTGAAACTAGTGGACCCTGGCACCTTTGAGGAGGGGGGCGTGGTTACAGATGATGGGAGACAGACCTTATCTTATAAATGGCACTCTCCACACGCACCAAACATATCAAAATGCAGTTTACAAAACCACAACTCTAAATGGTCAATCTGTAAACATGTATTCACCCAAACCAACCCGTGCAGTTTAAGATGCGCAAGTTGTACCGACCCTAACCAATTCATGCAGTTTAAAGTAAGCGAGTTGGGTTGGATGAGTTAATTGACAAAATTTGGTGGGTCAGTTGGCCATCCAGTTTATATGTATATGCAAAACTATCTCGCATTTACCCACATACAATATCTCCGACCTTAATAACATTAGTCAAATGACATCAACCCTCATTTTTTATTTATTTATTTGATTTTGTTTTGTATTTTGATTTGTGGTATATAATTTTGAATAACTTTATGTATTTGATTAGATTGTAGGTTCGTTGGGATTTGGAATTTCATATTTTTAGTTAAAATTGTAAAAAAAATTCATTTATAGATGGCCCGTTTTGTATTTATAATATGCTCAATCTAATTTTGAGGATGGAAGGATTGTAAGTTAAAATTTCTCAATTCGCCAATAATTGTTTGGTTGATGATTTTGCCCAAAACGGACCCAAACTAATCCGCGCACAACCCTAGTTATTCCATCAAAAAATTATATAGAATTTTGTATGATGATATTGGTGGCATAATGTGCATCATGGTGATCTGTTCATCTGTTGCAGATCCAAATCTGTCAGTGCCAATCTATCAGGCTGTTATGTTCCTTTGAATACCAGTTCTATATGATGAAATGAATGATTGATAGAAAACTAGAGGCAGAGTATATACTAATAGTATTTTCATTAAACAACACACAGAGTCACAGAGTGACCATTACACAGTATAAGGACACAAACACAAACACAATTGACATTCTCACATATGACTCAACAATTTAGAAACACAACTTCTGGGGTACACAAATTATTGATCACAATCACATTATTATGAAAGACTTATCAAACTAAGTAAAACATCACGTTAGTATTATATCATTATGTGCTTTTTTAATGGCCACATGTGCAGTTGACACAAGCGCAGTTGGAGTCACTAATACGGATCAGAGCCACCATGCCAAACAAGGCTTTTGAAGCTACACAGTGACTCATCTACCCTCTCCTCCTCTCTTTGATCATCATCTTGTTCAGTGTCTATGGCTGCTTCAGCTTGTTTCTGAGGTACCATTTGTTTCTTTTCTTTACTTCTGTAGAGATCTAAAACAACTCAAAAGGACAAAGCAATTAACAAGCCAAAGCCGAAACAAAAGCAAACCCAGAACATGAAAAGTTATAAGATTGTTATGGTTTAATAGGTCTCTTTTTTTGGGTGGGTTTTGTAGGTCTCTTTTCCTGAGTTCTGAAGCAACATATAAGAAACGAGAGAGAGAGAGAAAAAAAAAAAAAAAAGGTAAAAAACGACATCGTTTTTGACCACGGCAGGAATGTATGGCAGAAGATCCGGACTCTTATATGTTATTCGGCTTTTGAAGATTTGGAGCCCTCGACAAAAAGTAAAATTTGAAACCTTTTTTTATGATCCCTAGGCCATAAGCCAAGTGACGTAATAGTTAATACACGATGACGGTATAATTGATGATGGTTGTGTTATTTTTGCAGCTACATTGTGAGCGAGGTGATGGATGCGAGTCCGGATCTTCTGCCATACATTCCTGCCGTGGTCAAAAACGATGTCGTTTTTTACCTTTTTTTTTTTTTTTTTGATAGAAAACCAGAGGCAGAGTATTTACAAATAGTATTTTCATTAAACAACGCAGAGAGTCACAGAGTGACCATTACACAGTATAAGCACACAAACACAAACACAATTGACATTCTCACATATGACTCAACAATTTAGAAACACAACTTCTGGGGTACACAAATTATTGATCACAGTCACATTATTATGAAAGACTTATCAAACTCAGTAAAACATCACGTTAGTATTATATCATTATGTGCTTTTTTAATGGCCACATGTGCAGTTGACACAAGCGCAGTTGGAGTCACACTTGCACTTTCCATCATGCTCAGCTGCTGGGGCATCCATCATCACCTCGCTCACAATGTAGCTGCAAAAATAACACACCCATTGAGAGGGTAATTTATGATCTGGAGTTGGGCCGAGATATCGACCGAGCAGGTTGAAAGCCCAGCAGTGCATTGGGCCGAGATGATCGACTGTTCGCCCGGAGAAGGGCCGCCAGAACTTGGGCTGGGCAGAGTTCGGGCTGTGTGTGCCACCCCGGACCGGACAGAAACTGCTCGGCAAGGCAGTGCTCGGTCGGACCATGATGCTCGGTCCGAGGATGGCTGAAGCCAGATAGGCCGAGTGACCGGCGCCCGGGAAGGCGCGGACATCCGAGGAAGTTATCTGACCGGCAGAAAGGCCGACCCCAGGAGGCACCTCGGGCTAGGCTTTGCCGAGATGCCGCCTAGCCCGGTCCTCCTCAGTCTTGGCCAGTGGAGGCACCTCGGGCTAGGCTTTGCCGAGATGCCGCCTAGCCCGGTCCTCCTCAGTCTTGGCCAGTGAAGTGCTAGGGTATGGAGCACGGCATGGCACAACAACGGATAGAGCAGCTCGGTTGCCGAGCTCTAGTTGTGATGACAGGCAGTTGGAGTTAGGTGATGAATGGCATGGTTTATGCTGACAGATGGGATAGTAGAGCCACGTGTCAGGAGATGACTGGGAGTGGATATGGGGCTCAGAAGGTATATAAGCACGTTTGCGCCCCCCATACGCAAGAAAAAAAACGAACATCTCTGTAAGGACTTCTTACACTCAAACACTCTCTCCCTTCTCTCTATCCATCCTAAGGTGTGTGTTAACTTGACCGTCGGAGGGTTTTTCCCGGCCACACACCGCCGGGTTAGCTCACCATTACTTGCTCGCAGGTGATCGGACGTCGACGGAGCTCGGAAGAAAGGAATACGGGCTTGCCAGAATATTTGCTCCCCGTACACCCATCATCAATTATACCGTCATCGTGTATTAACTATTACGTCACTTGGCTTATGGCCTAGGGATCATAAAAAAAGGTTTCAAATTTTACTTTTTGTCGAGGGCTCCAAATCTTCAAAAGCCGAATAACATATAGGGAGTGTTTGGGAACCCGAATTTGAGGCTAAAATAGCCTCAAACAATAAAAAAGTTTTTTAGCATCAAATAGTACACTAACCGATTGATTTAAATTTTTTTTTTTAAAAAAAAAGAGAGAAGCAGTGGCTGTCATTGCACGGACAGCCTACACTAAACAGTTAATTGACCGTTTTGGCAAATTTATCATTTCAATCTCAAACATCATTTCAAACACATTTTTCAATACAACAATTAACCCAAAAATTTAACCCAACTTTTCAAACACAAAAACTAAAATAGCCTATTAAAATAGTCAAAAAGTCAAAAAACTTAAAAAATTGTCACTTCCCAAACACCCACATAGTATAAACTTTATTTTAACCTAAGATTTTAAAAACTTTTGGACTGTTATTGACCTGTCATCATCTTTGTCATTATCATTTGTTAGTCCTTCCTTACAAATGAGATTTCAAATGTTGCATATGCCTCCTATTTTTCTGGGTAACATGGGTAGTGTCAGATTTTGAATTTGTGGAGGGCTTTTTGGAGTTCTCTCCACAGATCCAAGATCACTTTTATTTTATTTTTTTATTTTTTTTCACAAATTCAAAATCTAAATAAAAATGTTAGTTAATGGAATTTGTATGCCTTTTCACAAGATCAAATAGACTATGTTGGATCCATTGTTATTGGATTCAAATCCTTAGCAAGCTCTATGAAAAACATAATAACGTTTTCAGTTATGGTAAAGATTAGGTCTAGCGCTTTATCTGGTTATTTATTTTGTCTTTTTTAATATGACTTTAGCGTCATCGGTTCAAAATATAAAAACTCTGTACACGTTGTCAAATCCCGCAGTGACAAATTAACTTTTTAATTTATTTTGCCTCCTCTTTGAGATGTTAGAAAGAGATGTAAGATTTTCTTTTTTCAAAGTCGTAGTTTAATTCTTGATAAGTTCTTGAACAACAAAGGTACCTTTTGTCAGTCTCAACAATATCGATGGTGTTTTTCTTCCTGCAAAGAGAAAAGCATATTATTTATTATAAAAAAAAATTGTAAAATAATACATATGAAGTGGGAGGAGGTATGACCATTGTCTATTATCAAATTTTTATCATCTTATAAGTTATTATTGTATTGATGTGCAAAGTCTCACTATTCATGTTTGTTGTCAATATAATAGTTACACATAAGATGATAAAAAAATATAATCATTATAATATTATTAATAATAATGTTATGTTTTTGTTGTCGATGCACTTTACATAACTACATAAACAAATATTATTTGTAGGTATAATATGAATATTCAACTTAAAAGTCTATAATTTCCATAAAAAAAATAAAAAAATCTTGAAAGTCTATAATAATATCAAAGCAAATGATATATCTAATCCTCGTATGAATTGTATTAATTTTTTTCTAAAAACTTTTCATGTAGATCCACATAACAAATTGTTGGAAAAATGATTTAATATAGGCATATTTTTTTAGCTCAATTTGAGTGGGCCCCAAACGTCTTTTGGGGTGGGTCCGAAGAGGTGACGTGTTCCTTGCCATAGGGCAAGTCACACGGTGAAGACGGAACGTCAAAACCATTTATGAGTGAATGGGAAGTTAACGTCGTTTTCGAGTCTAACATTAATTTTTTAGATAAAATTCCTTTGAATTTTTTCAATAAAAATTATTGTGGGAATTTAATTTAAATTCTAAATTCAAATTTTGGGTTTCTGAGTGGTTTCCTAAAATTTGTAATTGTGGGAATTTAATTTAATTCTAAATTTAAATTTTGGATTCCTAAGTGGTTTCCTAAAATTTGTACCTCTTACTTTATTTATTAAATTATTTAATTTGTTTAATATATATATATATATTCAAAATAATTTATTTAATAAAGGTGAAACAGATTTATATATTCTAAACAGTTTAGTATTTTGTGCATCGGCTACTTGTCAAATTATTTGGAAAGGAAATTGTTCCTGTACAAACGGTCCAAATTGTTTGACTTAAGGAGTGCACCTGTTCATTTGGATTATATCTGTTCAAAACAGTTGGGCACCTGTTCATTTCTTTTGGCACCTTTTCGGGTCTTTTGTAGTTGCCTATAAATACATGGTATTTCCAACAGTTTTGGGGATGAAAAAAACAGTCTCAAATTTTGTCTTTTTGCTGTCCAAATTTCTTTTAGTGCACTATTCTTTATTTTAGATTTAAGAATAAATATTCAGAGAGATAGAACACAGGTTTGGTTCGCCGAACAAATTTATTTGAAGTGCTTCTATAAATTTGTGAAGATCATTGTATCCTGGGAGATAGACGCCACTCAACCGTAAGCACCGTAGCGGGGCGAATCTGTCTTAAGGACAGAGTGTCACACACTCGACTTGGTCTTAATTTTATTTGGGTTCGATAAATAAATCTGGTATGTTTTTTATTTGTTTTGTTTGAATTTATTTCAAGTTATTTATTTATACAGAAGATTGTTCCAACGCAAATAATTACATCTTGCAACTACTATTTTTATTAGTAGTTCCAAATCATATGAAATTAAAGAGTTGATAACCATACATTAGCATGAACATGAACATGAGCTTCAAAGCAACACCACGCATATTGCAAAGAAAGTGAACAAAATAATTGAGAGAGAGAGAGAGAGAGAGAGAGAGAGACTTACACACACTGGCTTTTGTCAGCGCAGTCGAGGTTTCCGCACTTGTCCGACATGGTGAAATAGTTGAAGTAACAGGGAGGGAGAATGGGAAGTTGTGGAGGAGTTTTGAGTATGTAGCTGATGGGTATGAAGTGTGTGTTGTATCTCAATGTTCTGTGCTTTGATCTCAATTTATAGATGGAGGCAGGGCGGTTGTCGTAAAGGATTGGCCCCTGTATGATGTGTTACTTTGCTGCTGCTGCTGCTTGCATGCTTCTGGTCCCTCCAAACATTTGATTCCCCCTACAAACGATAGCATACCAATCAATCCCACCTAGATAGATATAATTCAAAAGCAAGACTGAGCTGCTCATATTAGTGTGACTAGTGTAGTAATTTCTAGTATGAATTTTTAGTTGGGATAATAAAAAATTAACTCTAAATTTTGCTTCTTTTTATTTTATTTGTTCCATTGTAAATATTAGTGGTACACATTATTCATGTAAAAAATTGTGTTGATCTGGTTTCTATATTAAAATTACATTCACCGTTAATTTTTTTTAAAGACAAATATAATTTGATCATGTAGTTACCGTATCTAATCGATCACTTGAATGGGTGGTATCATAAACATTGTGTAGGATTCATTGAAAAATGGCTTGGATCATATATATTTGTCCGAAGTGAATCCCAACTCCCAACAGATTACACATAAATATGATTAACATTAACATTATTTATTCAATATATCTTAATAAATTTACATATATCAATAAAAAAAATATTATTGATTTAAATATACACTAAATTATAGAATAAGTAATGATTTTTAGTATGTTATTAATATAATTTGAGTAATTCAATTTTTATTGAAACCCAATTAATCCGACTAAATTTTTTATCTTGTGGATTTGCTCTATTTCCTGACTACATTCCTGGAATTTTCTCTCCGTCAAATTCCATTCATGACCTGTAAAGCAATGGTGGAATGGGATCCATACAATACAATGGTGTGAGTGTGGACCCAGCAAAGCATGAGAGAATCTTAATAATGGAGTCCTTGGCCTCCTCTCCTCCGCTCATGTCTTCTTCATTTTTCTTTTTTTCAACATACCATTTTCTTTTCACCACATATATATCTTCTCTAAATTTGTTAAGATTTTACTTTTTCAAAAAGCTATAGAAAAAAATATATCTATATTTCTATACTATATATACTTAGTACGGAATAAAATAATATATTATTTATAAGAAGTACGATAATTATATTTAATTTTTTTATATTTTGTCTCTCGTAAATAAAATTTTATATATAAGTTTAACAGTTTTGTTTGAAATGTCTCTTTACTAAAATTGTTGTCTTGACAATTAATAATTAAAATAGTGGGTACTTTATGTATACCTAATGAATACAATCTTTTTTTTTAAAAAAAAAAAAAAAACACAGAGATTGTCACAATCCAATCAATTTTTTTTTTCTTCTCATCATGTGATCATAATAAAGTGTAGAAAAAACACAATCAGTTAAAAAATAAAATCACTTTGTGATCAAAATGTGTAAAAAAACACAATCACATTTTGGCTCATAACAAAAAGAAAAACAATGAAGTCAGTTGATAGTTAAAAAATACAATTACAAATACAATAAATTAAAAATACAGTGAGTTAAAAACTACTTCGTTTATATTCCAATGAATTAAGAAGAAAAACAAATACAAAAGAATACGTATATATATACATAGAAGAGAGGGTGAATTAAACTGGGCTCATAATGGAGATAGAAACACTAGGTTTTTTTATATCATGGCCAGCAAAAGGCAGCGAAGGAATTTAGTTGACTCAGTTGTAGTAGATGGTGTTAGGTTTGAAGAACTTGTGCTAGTGAGAGAAGCTGTTTTCAGGTATTTTTCAAAGGTCTAGACCAAAACTAACTGGAAATTTCATTTCAATCAATAGAACAAAGGTAGTGGAAGTGTTGGAACTTGAGTTTACAATGGATGAGGTTTGGGAAGCAATAAAAGAGTGTGATGGTAATAAAGCGCCTGGACCAGATGGATTCAATATGATTTGTATTCAAAAGTGCTGGAAGATAATGAAAGGTGATGTGTTTCAATTTATACAAGAGTTCTACAAAAATAGTAAGTTGGTTAAAGGAATAAATAGTTCATTTATTACTCTTATATCGAAGAAGGCTAACCCCGTAGGATTGGCGGACTTTCGGCCAATTTTCTTGATAGGTGTGTTGTACAAAATTTTGGCCAAGATTTTATCAAGAAGGTTGAAAAAGGGGCTACCTAATGTTATCAGTGAAGTGCAAACAGCTTTCCTAGCTGGTAGGAATATTTTCGATGGTATAATGATTGCTAATGAGGCAGTGGACTGGTGGAAGAAGTCTAAAACGAAGGGAGTCATACTCAAACTTGATTTTGAGAAGGCTTATGACTCAATCAATTGGGAATATTTGTTCGATATGATGGTCAATCTTGGATTAGGTGAGAAGTGGCTGGGTTGGATGAAAACATGTGTTACATCAGCGAGGGTTTCTATTTTAGTTAATGGATCTCTAACAGAGGAGTTTAGTCCACAAAAGGGGTTAAGGCAAGGAGATCCATTGTCTCCTTTTCTATTCAATATTGCAACAGAGGGGCTTAACTTGCTATTAGAAAGAGCAAAAAAGTTGGGAATTTTTAAGGGAGCCTGTGTTGGGCCAGCAAGTCTGAGAGTATCACATCTTCAATTTGCCGATGATACGATACTTTTCTGCGATGTAGAGTGGGCTGAGATTGTGAATGTGAAAAGGATATTTAGATGCTTTGAGTTAATATCAGGTTTGAAGATAAATTTTCACAAAAGTGTGGTGTGTGGAGTAGGGATTAGTGATGAAGTGGCACAAGTCTATGCGTCCAAGCTATGTTGCCTATGCAGGAAATTACCTATTAAGTATTTGGGGCTACCACTTGGTGCAAATCCAAGAAAGAAGAAGACCTGGTAGCCAGTAGTGGACAAGGTTAGGTCTAAATTAGCATTATGGAAGAGGAAACTGTTGTCATTCGCTGGTAGGATAACCTTGATAAAATCTGTTCTTGATAGCTTACCTGGCTATTATATTTCTATCTTTAAATTACCTAAAGGGGTTGCAAGAGAAATTGAGAAGATAAAGGCAGCATTCCTATGGGGTAGTTCAGAGCTAAAGAGGAAGATCCACTTGGTGAGTTAGAAGGAAATCACAAGGAGTAGAGATCAAGGTAGGTTAGGCATAAGAAGGGTTAATGATATGAATGATTTCATGTTAGCGAAGTGGTGGTGGAGATATGGGGTGGAAGATCAATCTTTATGGAAGAAAGTTATTATTAGCAAGTACGGAGCAGATGGAGGAAGATGGTTACCAATGAAGGTTTTGGTTGGTAATGAGTCTTATGTTTGGAGTGACATTTTAAATGTGGCAAGAACTAATATTGATTTGTTTCAGTTTTTTATTTCAAATTTCAAGATTGAAGTTGGAAATGGGAATAGGATTGAGTTTTGGAATGATAAATGGTTCATGAACTTACTGTTAAAAGAGGAGTTTCCTAGGTTGTTTAGATTATCTGTGGAAAAGGAAGGCACCTTGAGCAACTTTATGCAGAGGAGGGACAGAACAGGGGATTGGAAACTCTTGTTTAGAAGATCACTGCTGGCTTGGGAGGAAGAGGAGGTAAGTAGGTTGCAGGAGCTAACTAGAGGTATACCTGCCTTAATGTGGAAAAGATTGATTCTGCAAGCTGGTTTGCATCATCTTTGGAACTGTTCATAGTGGCATTAGTCAGAGCTTGGCATGAAGTTACCCAGGGCCCTAGATTGAAAATTCCTAGGATGCTGTGGAATAATGTGGCACCACCAAAAGCCTAGTTTTTATGTTGGTTGGCATGGAAATGAAGGGTGAAAACTACAGATCTTTTGCAGAGATTTGGGGTGTTAAGTGACTCAATGGAGAACTTGCGCCCTTTTTGCAAGTCTCAAGCAGAATCAGTGGAGCATATATTTTTGCTATGTCCTGAGGTGTGGAAGGCTTGGTCGAACTTACTGCAATGGTGGGGATTTAGTTGGGTTACTCCTGCTTCAGTTAAAGGTGTGTTGCAATGGTGGTTGGGAACAAGATTCAAGAAGACAATGTAGAAGGCTTGGAGACTTGTTCCAGTTGCAATGCTGTGGTCAGTTTGGAGATTAAGAAATGATTGTATATTTAATGGCTGTCAATATAGAATGGATGAACTTTGTGAAAGAGTAAAGGTTAGAGTTAGGATGTGGTTGAAATCTAATCTGAATGGTGTTCCCTACTCAGTGCATGATATTGTGGAAAATTTGAATCAGGTTAGATTATGTTTATAAGGTGGACGACTGGTTGAGACTTTATGTTTATTTGGTGGATGGCTGGAAGCTTAGTGTCAGATTTGCTGGTATGTGTATTAGGTGGAGTTATGTATTAGAAATGGAGGTGGATTGATCTGGAGCAAGTCTGGTGGCATATTTATTCTGCTGAAATTACTCTGCTGCTAGTGGCTATTGTGACAACCCTCACCACTGATTAGTGCTAATCTATGATTAAGCATGTTAAGTGACTAATTGACTAAAACTCTGAACTGATTGATTGAGTGTATTAGTTTAAATGCAAATCTATCTGTTTGACTGCTAAATGATCTGTTCATGTTTTGCGCTTTAAACTGTAAATTGAAGGCCTTATCGGCAGCCGAATCTAAAATCGAGTAATATTTTATGCTAGTTAGAATTTATGTGATTTTATGGTATATTTAATTGAAATGTGATTTGGTATGATTAAATTAGGTTAAATAATGATAAATTGCAATAGTTGGACTTATTTACCTTAGTGCCATGATAGTGGGCCACTTATCAATTCATGTTTGAAGCCTATTACGTATTTGATGCATCAATTGTTCTCTATTTTCTGAGCCTAAACCAACTAGAGAGAGAGAGAGTTAGGAGAAAACTTGAGTTCATTAAAATTGCTTGGAGACTTAAGAGAAATTGAAGGAGTCTTGCATATTTGAGCTTCTACACTTGAAATTCAAGGTCTAAGTAGGAGAACCATCTTCTTGAGCTTGCATTTGAGTTATATCTTGCATGATTCATGGAAGTTTAGTGAGTTGAGTCTAGAATTGGCTTAATGAGTTGAATTGAGGCTTAAATCATGCATGCATGTGCATATCTTGAAGTTTAGAGTTGTTTTCATGGAAATTATTGCATGCATGTCCATATTTGGGTTATAGTCCATGAATTCATCATGTTTGGGAGTGGTGTTTTTGGAAGGATTGGCTCATTTGATCTTGTGTTTGAAGCTTTAAGTTC